CGCCCATGCCGGACATGGTCCTCGGTGTTGAACACTTGCCTGGAGTCCTTCAGCTTACGCGGAAGCTTTGCTCGTCACGGCTTCGAGCTGCCCCGTACTAGCAATCACAGACCCATGACTCGCAACTGGCTCTTGGCCATGCAGGAGCTCCATGACAGCTGTCTCCACGGAACACGCTGGACTTTCGTGTGAAGACGTTTAAAGTCACGCAACTGCCATCCTAGATGCTGATGAAGACATCTGCCTGCAATTATGATGCAGGGTTCTGTCCTGAGACTAGCGCACAGAGTCTCGGCAAGGAAGGGTGTTGGTGGCCTGTCAAACAGTGCAGCAAAGCTTGCAGCTGAATGGCCGCTGCGACCTGATTGCCTTCGCGAATGCCTGTTTTCTGAAATTGACGAACTGATTGAAAAGCCAACCTCCTAGGAAGGCCCCTTTGAGCGAAGGGCCCGGCCTGTGGTAGCAGACTCCTTCTAAGCCCTCGGCAACTCACATTGCCTAGTCACCAATCTCCTGGTTTTGCTGCAGATTTGCCCCGTAATAGGCTGGCTGGCCCGCTGGAGCCCAAGCGAGTGAAGGCTGGGGCGGGCATGTGTCTGATCCTGTTTGGTGTCTTTCCTGTGCTATGCTGAAGCACTCCCCCTGAACGAAACGTTTGGGGGCCATATCTATGCGCAGATAGTTTCAGTTCTGCGAGTCACTTATCAGGTCTGGCAGGGATTCCACCTCTTCAGGATCGCTTGCATGTCTTCTTGTGAGGCTTATCCTGACCCTTAGCCCTAAACCCTGAATCGTCACCCCCAATCCTTAAACCATCGAACCCACCCAAGCCCTAAACCCTCGCCTTCTTCTTAGCAGAGAACTGACCTTTCTATAACCCCTATATTTATATAACCCTATATAGGTCTCATATAACCCGATATATAACTCTTATATAACCGCATATAACCCTAAGTCTGCTCAGCTCAGCCTTGCAGGTAGAAGCCCCGCCACCCGAGCCCGAGGAAGATTTCGAAGAGGAGGAGTTGGAGGAGGCGGAGCTTGTAACGATGGGCTGGAATCATGAGCGCAGGGTTTGGGGGTACTGGGGTTATATAGAGGCTCATAGGGATTCAATGCCGGGCCTAGTTCATTTGAACAGTTTTTTTTTGCAAGTTTTTTTTTTGGGGGTGTTGAGGGTGAAAGGCGGACAGTGCTCCTGTTATTCAGGCTTTTGTGCATGACCTTCCATCGCTCAGTAGGAAACCTCCGTGAGACCATTGTTCTGATTGTTTGTGATGCCCAGTAGCCTTGGAGCAGCAGAATTTGCTGCCGTCCCCTCGACAAGCCTAGAATTCAATCCCTCATTCACTACGTGCAACGTGGAGTAGTCATTAAACGACGTCCCCTCCTCTGTAATATTAGATATACCGGGGCCTGAAAAATTGTTTAATGTTTTGGGAGATTATTTTTTGAAAGAATTGGATAGGGCTGCCTTTGAAATCCTCTTAAACTCCACAGAAAATCAACAATTCACTAGTTCGGTTATTCAATCACATTAGTTAGTATTTGAATATTTAATCAATCGATCACTTAACTAAGTAATCAAGTGGATTATCAGTTGACACTTCCATTCTTAGTCGGCCGCTTTAAAAGTAGTTGACCCTTTTAAAAGTCCTCTTCTGGGTTTTTTGGCCCCTGTATTCATCGTTTAACAATCGGGATTTTTTCTCGGAGAAGGGACCGCATAATTTCGCATGCTTGTAGTGATAGCTTCTACGCTAGCTCGCGGACAAGACGACATGTATATATGAATCCCGAAATACATCCATGTTTGGTAGCTGCTATGTAGGATTTCGGACCTTGGGCTTGAGGCTTGCGAAGTGGGATTCATTCTACCGTAGAACTTTGGTGGGTTGGAATCCAGGCTCTGAGAACCGCATGGAAGCAAACAAAGCAGGAAGATCCTTTCCGACTTGCTGTCAGGCAGGTGCAGCAGCTACCCTAAGGCTTCTCGACGTAGTGGGAAAACTTATTCATACGAGCCACATCTAAACTCGTTGAAGGGGGTTGTATAAAGGAATATATAGGGGATTACTATAGGGGCTAGTAAGGGGCATTTTAGACTACGGCTCATATCAGCCGCTCCATGCCAGGTAGAAGTGGCGGGGCCCGGGCCAACGCTTGCTGAGGCAGTGCGTCGAAGGGCGAGGTTTTTTTCTGGGCTACTTCGGGCTTTTCAGGTATTTGTTGGTTTGTGGTCAGATTTCATGTGCATTGTTTTTTTTTGTTGTGCCAGACCTGCTTGTGATTGTTTTCATCCCTGCAAAAATCCTGCGAAATGTTTTGGTCGTTGTCATCTCTGCCCCTTCCATTGTACTTGCGTTGATGGGAGTGTCCGTAGAATCCTGAACGGTCAACTAGTACCCTTCCAGAACTTCTACACAACCTTGCCCAAGCCTGAAACCCCAAAGCCTACACAGAAATCCTTAAGCTCGCACCCTGAATCTAAACCCCTGAGCCGTGAACCGTGCACCTCAAACCTTGCACCCTAAAATTTGAACAGCAAACCCTAAGATATATCTTGGATCTCTTACACCCTTATCTTAAACTCTGCATGCAGCAAGCAAACCTAAGCCCTGAATCCCTAGGTCTCTACATCCTAAACCCTGAAATCCAGAACACCAAACTCCCATTTACCAAAGGAGTCTGAAACCTTGATCTTTGAACCTTCACAACCTAATGTCGATCGCCCCCTTGAAAGGATGCCTACAACTCCCCCTCCTCTATGGTAGCTTCCATAAAGCAGGGGCCCCTCTTATGCCCCAAAAAACTATACTGGGTAGGCCTTTGGGACATTTTCCCTAACGGCTGTAATAGAGGATCCTATATTTGATATATGCCTTCCTCACTCTATGGACACCCAAAAGGAACTCGTTGTTTATGGAAGCCCCTAAAACCCTATAAACCGCACAGTTTCCATCTCTTCTTATTTTCCATTTGAATCTCCATTCTTGGGCCGTATATCCCCATCTATGATAGGTGCGTTCTAATTACCTTTACCTTCCAAGTAGTCTAAAGCCTAAACTCGTAAAACCCAAGCCCTGAAACCCTGAAAGCCTAAACCCTAAACCCCTAAACCCGTAAACCCCTAAACTCTATACCCTTAACCCCTAACTCTGACCTGTAAGACCCTATTCTGGGTTGCTGTTAAGGAACTTCAATTAAGTTACCATATTGGGGAAACCCTAGAATTTACTATATATACCCATTATGGTAACTTAATTTAAGTTCCTTAACAGCAACCCAGTATTTTGAGAAGCAGCCAAAAGCTGCCAGGAGAGTTCGGCCTCGGCTTTCCTGGCCGCGGTGAAGACACGGCTGATGGAGTGGGGTAAGGCCGGATCCTTGGGCTTAGGGTTTAGGGAGTTTAGGGTTTAGGGAGTTTAGGGTTTAGGGGTTGAGGGGTTTAGGGTGTAAGGGTTTAGCGCAAAGGTGGGTTGGATGCTCTGTGGTCTCTCCCAAGTCGCAATTTCAGCAGTGCACGGCTGGCACCATGCAAGGAGTATTTGCTTATCTCTCTCGCGTGCTTAACCGTGCTGAGCTTGTGCAGCTACGTTGCTCCTCTGGTTCGCAGTTTGCCGGGCATGCTTGGGCCACTCATGGGCGTACAAGCATTGTTGGGAGTCACGCTCAGAGTGCTACTTGCTGCATTTTTGGGAACCGTGTCGGCCGCTTGCACGCCTCAACTCTGGCTGTGGTTGCCTTTCCCTGTCGGTTCAGCCACGCGTTGATGGGAGTATTTGTAATGATCATCTTGGTGTTGGGCCGGATGACCGCAGGGATTTCACCCAGGCTCCCGTGAGGGCCACTTCGGCGTAGGCCAGACAAATTCATTGCTAAGTATGTATGTATGTATGTATGTATGTATGTGTGTACATGCATACTATGTATGTATTCGCAAGGGTGCTTTTGCCAAGGATTCGGGAAACGTAGTTGAAGGATATCTGTTGTTTCATTGACGTGGCACGATGTCTTGATCTTCAAGGATAGGTGCACCTCAGCCAGAGTTTTTGTTACTGTGAGGGCGACGTGCTGGAGTATTTTCTCAATGTTGCGGTTCCCACATCACTTATCACGTAAACCTTGATGGACGGGCTTGGATGTGCCGGGGGGCGCACCATCTAGCCGGCTCTCTCGAAAATCAAGCACCACTTTTGTAAGCAACCACGCGCTGCGGCTTGTCCGACTGGCCTTACGCATCTGACTGACTGACTGACTGACTGACTGACTGACTGACTGACATGGAAGCACAATTGTGTCCAGGGGCAAGTGTTTCTCAAGATTAATTATGGGCCTTTCTGCGTGCGCCAAGCAAGCAAGGTTTGGGCCTACAAAGGGCAATTAGCATCTGGCAGCCCATCGTTTCTCCCCCAGCAGAACAGAATGTAATGTGGAGGTCCCAGCCATTGGGCTGTTAATGCTCCCGGCGTGTACCATGAAGAGAGGGGTCTCGGTTGGTTCTTTATCTAGGCCCCGGATTGGCACTGCAGTGTCCGTCCTTTTTAATTGGCCCAGAGTGTGATAAGGTGGACCTGTACCATCGGTTCGTGCTGGCCCTGTCTGGATCTGTTGATGTAAAGATGCTGGGCCGCACTTTCAATGCTTGAGCGGGAGTCGACTCCTCTTGAGAGCCTTGGTCGTCAAAGGTTAGGATTGCTATGATTGTCGTGTAGAAGCCTGCATGGTTCGAAAGACTATCATATTGTGTTGTGGCAGTGTGACATACACGAAATTCCTGTCCTCCAGCTGTAGGACTCTACATTATCCTATCCTAAGGGCCGCGCTGAAGATCCTCCGCGGGCACGACGACCTCATCGCGGTGTTCCACCGCAAGGTTGGGTTTGGCCTCCACCTTGACATGGTGCCATCTGCCCCGCAAGACCTCGAATTACAATTGTTAACCCCCAACTGCGGAGCTCTCTGGTGCTTCATGTAAGCAGCTTTGCGGGGCAACGGGCATGCCCTGGAAGTTTGCTCCGGACGCTGACATCTCAGCCGTCAAAGCGGAGATCAAGGACCTTGCTCTAGTCTTTGTCAGCTCCCAGTACCCGCATCCATGCGCATGCTTGGACATGCTCTGAGCCTAGGGCCCCCAGTTCATCAGTGAAGCCATGAGAAGCCTGGATGGAAGCCATATGAGGATGAAGATGAGCCTCGGCCTCCACCCTTTCCGCCAGCCCACGTAAAGGCAGGCCAGTCTGGTGCAGTGCATTGCTACTGCCGTGATTGTCGTGCCGTGTCTTCTTTGGGTGCGCTCAGGCGGAGCCTGTTGGCACGGCTGATGTGACGGCAGCGCCACCAGCAACAGGCGTCTGCATGCGTCTCAGAACTTGAGAGATTGGTGCTTCTGCTTTGTTTGGGGCAGGTGGCGTCGAGGGAGAGGTCGACGAGATGCCGAGACCGCCGCGCTTTGCGCCGGGAGAGCGGAGGTCAGATCCGGAAGCTTAAGCGCCTGGGCTCTGAAGCTTGCTTTCAGCTTTCAGGCCGCCTCCTCGAATTGGTGATGACAGCGATGAGGCTCTGTGTGCAGATCCCAAAAGCCTAAAACCTTTTGTTGTGTTCATCGGACCAGGAGCAAGTCGACGAAGCGGCAGTGGCTGCTGCGGCATCTCAAGGACCTGCTGCATGCGCAGTGGAGCTTGTACCTCGCACAAGTATGGTCGGAAGCAGTCCAACGTAGGTTTTGCTCACAAATTTTGGTTTCGTTTGGCTTTGTTCATAGTGATTTGAACAACCATCAGTATTGAATTGTTTTTTCTTCCTTCGCCTTGACATCGTCACACGGACCCCCCGCAAAAACCATGTTCTACTCTCCTCCCTTACACCGCTCCTCTCATCCCCGAAATCATTCTTCAAGACCCTGCTCCAACTATTCGGGACATAGACCCAGAATCCTCAACAAGCCTTACTCCCCATGTCCACTTTGGGCAAAGTTATAAGGGGTGTAGGATGCAATGTGCACGGAAATGACAGTGCTCCTTACAAATTAGACACAGAATCGCCAGCCTTAACCCCAACCATCGCTAAATCCTAAACCCAAAACCCTAAATGCCCTAAACCCTTGTATTCGTATGGTCTTGGCCCAGGCAAGGCTCGTCTTCAGCCGGGGCCGAAAAGCCGGAGATCAGACGGCGCAGCGTGTGGCCACGCAGCGTTCCTTGGCCTAAATGCGGTTTGAAGGGTTTATAGGGGTTACCTATGGTTTAGGGCTTGGTGTGGAAAGCATGATGTAAAATGAAATGTAGACTGCGATCACATAGGGGTAAGCCTAGGAATATTCAAGGGCCGGCCGTTCCTCAAGCATTTAGCCTCCGTGATGAGCATGCGAGGACATGTACTCGCGAGGGAGATAGAAGGATGTTGGCATGCATACGCACAGGATTGTTGAACCCGGGAGCTCGCCTTAGTTCCGGCTCGTACAAAACACCGAGTCGTGCAGGACTTTTAGTAGCCACAGTATGATCTGAAAAGGGGGTTGGTGCAACGCTGGCCTAACAACAGCAACAACAACAACAACAACAACAACCACGGCTACATTTTTCGATGGCACCCTGTTATCCTTTGTTGGAACTTGCGCAAAGAACCCGCAAAGTTGCCTTCAGGATATGCGGAGAAGGTATCTTCTCGGCCTCGCTTCCCGCGCGAGCTCTACATCCTGCGAGGACTTCCAGGCTGCTGGGCCGCACGGAAAGACCCGCCCTGGGCTGGCGCTGTCAGGTGTGTTGGGGATTACTTCATGTCCGTTCACCGACTGCGCTGTTTCGTGACTTTTTTCATGGATAAACGAGGCAGGCCTGCCCAGCCAGCATCAATGTAAAATCTCTTCAGATTAATTGTGTGCTTCTCTCGAGGCATTGGCAAGACCGAGTACGCCATGGAAAGACTGCCGCCAGCTTATCGCACGGCCTCCCCAGCCAAGCTTCCCCACTGACCACAAAAAGGCCACTCTTGGTATAAATGAAGAAGCTCGATACGTCTTAGATTCAGGAGCATGCTTTGTCACTGCAGCTTCTTTCCGGACATTGCATGGGGCTGTGAACTGAGACAACTTGTACGTGCTAAGGCTGGAGATGAGGCCGCTGGACCGCGGGGAGGAGTGCCAAGTCCAGGTAGGTTTGCTTGCTAGGACGCTCCAAATGAATAATGGCGAGTTCTCACAAGCAGACTTCCCCTGCCGAGCTTTACCAAAATCGCAGACCACAAGCCGGAATTCAACCACAAGAAAGGGTGCACGGGTGCCCGATCATTTTGAGTCATCCATACACATTTCGCATGCAGAGGAGCAAGCTGCACGCTTCACTCATGTCTGCTGCGTGGACGACTTCTTGGAGACGTTCCGAGGCACAACCTGCAGTATCCCGAAGCTGGTTTCGTCGTTTTTGGTATTTTATTCCTATGGATCCTCTGGATTTTGCACTCTATTGCTAGACAGGCCACATGAACAGATAAGATTGCCCTAGACCAAAAAATCAGACGAGCCACAATTTTTCTGGCGGTCTATGCTAGGCAGGGAAACCCCCCAAGTTGTGTCAGGTCATATCTCATGAACTTTTGTAATTTCTTTCAATGTACGTATGGCCACCTATGGGACCACTACCACTCTGCGAATCGGAGGCCAGTCCTTCAAGCTTGAGGCAGCGCACCGGCGAAACGAGGCGACAGCGCAGAGGGCTTCAGCAGTTTTGTTCAGGTGTTAGGAAGTGTTTGGGGCTGAAATTCTGGGTCCGCTTTTTCAGGGTTGCAGCTGGTCATTCAGACTTCTGACTTTGTGCAAGATGCTTCATCGGATGCTCTGTCTTGCTATTCCTGACCCCCCCTGAACCCTGAAAGTTCCACCAACCCTTCCCAAAATAGGAACATCTCAAAAAACAGCCCCAAAACCCACAACCTTGAACATCTAAAGTTCGGGGTCTTGCACCCATTACCTTGGCGTCCGCAGGAACTTTCTCCCTCAAGGCCCTACTTGGAGGTTCATGGGTAGTGGTATGTGGGATTCAGAGTGAGGTACATGTACCCAGTACCTCCACCTAGATATTCAGAAGCCCTTGCTCCACATATCCGTGCATGTTTCTGTAAATCCTATGCGGCTTTTCGCGTTTATCTGATGTATCTGTTATGTATCTCCGCTTGCTCTGAGAGATCTAGAAGCCTAAATGATGGCTGTTACAAGTTCATGGAATGCCTTTTAGGTAACGTTCCCTCTTTCACTCTCTTAAATGGTACCTTCTACATGAAGCCTAAACTCCCCAACCGCCCTAACCTCTGAAGACTACATCTGCGCCCCTTGAACCAGGCCCGAGCACTCCTGGCCATGGAGGCCGGCATCCACCCGGTCTTCATCGAACCTTGGCAGCTGTGAGGCTGTTACTTGCTCACCAAATAGAAATGGTAGTTTCCCAAAACAAGGGGACCCCAATGTAGCCCCAAAGATTAAAAACCTGATCCTTATGGGAACCCCAAAATGGTACTTGCTGAAATGCATCCTTCTTGA